TAAATATATTTACATATGTACATATCTATATTTAGACCTCTATAAATGCCCTTTGCCTCCTAGTTATTTCCTCTATTTCCTTTTACTTTCCTCTTGTCCCATTATCATGTTCAGCCTTCATTTGGGTTTCAGTAAAGAGAAATGTTTGTTTGTTTTTTACATCACTAAATGTTGTTGTGTCATGGACAGCAATACCAAATACATCGGCATTCTTCCCTGATCCTTATAACTTTTTTGTTGTTGTTAAACACAGAATTTTCACACAGTTGTAATTGGTGGGCATATCTATGAAATGACTTTATCTTTTTTTTTCTTCACCAAGGCCATTGATCAGACAGTTTGAATGCTCTTTCTTGCTTTGCCAGGATGCTATAACTCTGCCTACAATGGTTTGTCACCTATCTTGAGGGTAAGCCAACAAATCTTAGTCAGTTTTGACTGGTGCTATACCATGATTCAGAATCTTTGGATTTGGTGTTTTACCATTTAAAATAGAAATTTCATTTTAAAATTAGGAGTGTGACTATCAGAATATACTTTTAAATAGCTTCACCCTCCACTCAACCTTTAGAGGTTGTTATTATTATTAGGTGTCATCCAGTTTGTTCCTACTCACAGCAACCCCTGTGTACAACAGAACGAAATACTACTGGTCCTGTGCCATACTCAAGTTCATTCCTATGTTTGAACCCATTGGTGCCACCACTATGTCAATCCATCTTGTTCAGGGCCTTCCTCTTTTTTATTGCTGCTCTACTTTATCAAGTACTTCACTTTATCTTAGAAGAAGAGGTTAAAAATACCAGTAAAGTATATTTCTGTGCAATGTATCTTAAAACTTGTCATACATTGGCTTCCACTCAAGTACTCCCTCAATGCAAGGATACTTTGTTCTGTTAAACAGGCATTCCATGATGCTCACCTTCCCGACACAATCGCTGAAGACAAAGAGGTGCATAAGCAAACGTGGTGAAGAAAGTTAATGGTGCCCAGCCTGGGGTCTTAAAGGCTTGAAGGTAAACAAGCGGCCATCTAAGTCAGAAGCAACAAAGCCCACATGAAAGTAGCACACCAGCCTATGTTTTCATGAGGTGTCGATAGGATCAGGTATCAAGTGTCAAAGAACAAAAAATCAAATCATTGTGAAAGAGGGGGAGTACAGATTGAGGCCCAATACCCATCTGTAGGCAACTGGACATCCGCTTACAGGAGGGTCGTGGGGAGGAGATGAGCCAGGCAGTGTGCAGTGTAGCAATGATGAAACATACAACTTTCCTCTAGTTCCTAAATGCTTCCTTCCCCCACCCACTATCATGATCCCAATTCTATCTAGCTAGACCAGAGGATGTACACTAGTACAGATAGGAATTGGAAACACAGGGAATCCAGGACAGATGATGCCTTTAGGACCAATGGTGAGAGTGGCAATATAGGAGGGTGGAGGGAGGGTGGGTGGAAAGGGGGAACCCATTACAAGAATCTACATATAACCTCCTCCCTGGGGGATGGACAACAGAAAAGTGGGTGAAGGGAATGTGTAAGATATGACAAAATAATAACTTATAAATTATCAAGGGTTCATAAGAGAGGCGGGGAGCAGGCAGGGAGGGGGAAAAAAGCAGAAAACAAATGTTTTGAGAATGATGATGGCAACAAATGTACAAATGTGCTTGACACAATGGATGTATGTATGGATTGTGATAAGAGCTGTATGAGTCCCCAATAAAATTATTAAAAGAAACACTTGTCATAAGATTTTGCTGTGTGATGCTTCTGTATGTACATTATCCTAAGCATTCTTCACTTTCAATATCTCACCCACACTTGACCTTACCATTTTCTTTCAAGCAGCTGAAGCCACCTTATAATACTCACCATTGGAATATAATTTTTTCCATGGTATAATATGTGCTCAATCAATAATAGCCATCATTATTTTATATGTCAAATCAATGACATCCAACAGATGCTCCAGGGATTATGTATACTTTGTATTAAAGTAGCAGCTATATTTTTCAAAATGTGGGATGCCGCCCCTAAGTGGGTCATGCAATCAATCTGAGACCCCAATTCTGGGCCTTAGCCAGAATTTTACAAAAGTCACTCATGCTAAAAAGGAAAACTATCTGAATGCATTGTATGTGCTAAGAGAAAGTACTTTTTCTGAAATGTGTTTTAGTCATGTGAGTGTTGCCTGTGTAAATGCATTCTTTACTATGGCTGATCTTCAAAAGAATGAAAGTCACTATCACAAAGCATCTTCTGTTTCTTTCTTTCTTGAAGCTAAAAGCCTCACATATCCATTAGCTGTTAACCTCTTACTGCAGAAGCATGAAAATCTGGGAAGAAGATGTTTGTCAATATAGGTTCAATTGACAAATTGGTAGTGAATTTTAAATTCAGTATGACAGAATGCTAGTGAACCTAGGTAAAAGCAGTGTACAACTCCTTACAGCCCCAACCTGGTTCTTCTCCAGTGTCTTCTCTTGGATTTACAGCTGATCTTATTACCAGTTTTCATTTTAATCCATTGGGGGATAGGCCAATTCTGTAAAGCATCTATTTCTAATGAAGACAATTAAAGGATAAGTAGCCATTCTTAAACAAAGCAAAACTTCCACATGTATTGTTTATTCAAATAATAATGGATTTTTCTCTTTCACTTTCATAAACACAATCATTTGGCTTTGTACATCAAATTAAAGGTATCCAAACCATTTAAAATAATTTTTTGTATTCATTTTCCATGGGTCTCATTAGAGAACTAATAGGCCAGCATTTGTTGGTATGATTATTTTCAATAATGAGCTTTCATTATTTTGCATTAAACACAAACCAACAAATAATAAAACAAACAAACAGCTCCTGTCAATTTGACTCTTGGCTCCTGGCAACTCAACAGTGCTTCATAGGGTTTGATTGGCTAGTTTTTTGGATGTAGATCACCAAGGCTTTCTTTGGAGTCACCTCTGGGTGAACTCAAATCTCTAAACTTCTGGTTACCAGCCAAAGGAGTTAACTATTTTCAGGACCCATGGACTTCTTGTATCTATCTGCCATGAAATAATAACAAATCCAAGGATCTTGATTTTTAGTTTACTTTTTCTCTAATAGTATTAGATGTGTCAAATCTGTTCTTGAGATCTTCTCAAAATTCAGGTGGTATAGATTCAAGTTCGTATTTTGGCTCTCATGGACTTGTTTTAATTTTCTTCAGCTTTACCTTGAACTTACATACAAACAATTGATGGTCTGGTCCACAGATGGTCCCTGGTCTAGTTTTACCTGATGATATTGAGCTTCTCCATAGTGTCTTCCCACAAATGTACTCAATTTGATATCTGTGTATTCCATCTGGGGATGTCCATATGCACAGCTGCCTTTTGTGTTGTTGAACAAACGTATTTGCTATGAACAAGTCGTTGGTTTTGCAAAATTCTATCATGCGATCTCCAGCTTCATTTCTTTTTTTTTTCTTAAATTATTTTATTAGGGGCTCATACAACTCTTATCACAGTCCATGCATACATCCATTGTGTCAAGCACATTTGTACATTTGTTGCCATCATTATTCTCAAAACATTTGATTTCTACTTGAGCCCTTGGTATCAGCTCCTCATTTTTTCCCATCCTTCCTTGCTTCCCGCTTCCTTATGAACCCTTGATATTTTATAAATTATTATTTTGTTATATCTTACACTGTCCAATGTCTACCTTCACCCACTTTTCTGCTGTCTGTCCCCCTAGGAAGGAGGTTAGATGTAGATCCTTATATTCAGTTCCCCATTTCTACCCACCTTCTCTCCACCCTTCCGGTATCGCCATTCTCACCACTGGTCCTGAAGGGATCATCTGTCCTGTATTTCCTGTATTTCCAATTCCTATCTGTACCAGTGTACATCCTCTGGCCTAGCCGGATTTGTAAGGTAGAACTGGGATCATGATATTGGGGGGAGGAAGCATTAAGAAGTAGAGGAAAGTTGTACATTTTATCATTGCTACACTGAACCCTGCCTGGCTCGTCTCCTCCCTGTGACCCTTCTGTCAGGGGATTTCCAGTTGCCAACGGATGGGCTTTGGTTCCCCAATCTGTACTCCGCCTCGTTCACAATGATAAGATTTTCAGTGCTTCTTTCTTCAAAGTGGGGATCTGATTCCTTCTTTGTTGTCTGTTCTTAGTCTGGAAGCTCCATTGAAACCTGTTCGCTTTGGGTGACCCTGCAGGCATTTGAAATAACAGTGACACAGCTTCTGGAATTGCAGCAACACACAAGTGACCACAGTAGGATAAAAGGTGGTATTGATGGTATAAGGTCATCAAAATCATTGATATCAGCTAATATCTCATAGCTCACCAAAGAGAAGCAGTTCCAACCAACACATTAGGAGTGAGTCAATTAAATGTTTGGCTAGAGGGGGTAGGGTGCGATTGGGGAGTTAATTACAAAGAGTACAGGAGAGAAGAATATGTTCTCAAATTGATTGTAGTAATGATTGTACAACTCTTCTTAATATGATTGAACTATTAAATTGTACGCTATGTGGATTATGTCCCAATAAAACTGTTTTTAAAAAGTTTGGTGAGAGCAGCCCATGAATGATATTATAAATATCCAAATAGCTCTAGGGAGAAAAAAGCTTCCCAACCCATGGGTTAAATAATAGAAAACTGCCAAAGTTGATAAAAAACAATTTCATTTCATTCAATCCAATAGTGACACAACATGAGGCGTATTCAAGATACCATAAGGAGTCCGACATTGCTCAGTGACACACAGGATGAAGGGGGACACCAAGGTGAAGAAGAAGCTACAGTGGGACACACAGGCTTGGATTTTATCGAAGTACTAGGATACAGGACAGTCTTTTGTTCTGTTGTACATAAGGTCACTATGAATCAGAACTGACTTGATGGCACCTAATTACAGCAATACCAACAGCAACAATGACACTTCTTAAGATGCTGGACTGCCTAGTGTGATGGTGAGAGTTTATGTCAACTAGACATATGGGGAGAAGGTAGGGGTGGAGCCAAATCCCTCAATCAGTTTGCAGCCTTATGACACCTTTTGGGGGCATGGCCTTTTGTTTCACAGAGACCCAGGGAAAAACCAAGCTTTCTCTAGCCCCTTCATCTGCTTAATCTGGATCCTATGTCTCATTCATCAGTATCCTGCTATGCTGCTTACGGAGCCTGGGAGTCATCAAAGGACTGCTGACCTTGGATTCATTCGGTTGGTCTCCGATTCACTTAGCTCTGCATCCACCTACCTGTGGCCCTCCTGCTTCTTCTTCTCATTTCTGGTTTGTCAGCTTTGGCAGCTACACAAGCCAAGAGATACCTCCACTGGACTTACCTCCTTGTACAGCTGTGTAAGCCATCTATGAATAGAAATCTCTTTCTGAATACATATCCATAAAACATCACTGGTTTTGTTTCACTAGACAACCCAAGCAAACACACCTAGGTATTCAAAAAATATTGATTCAATAAACTTTCAAACAGTAGAGGAGAAATAAATTTTTCCCCAATAATATTTGTTATCAACTACCCCCTAACAATTACAACCAATGATTCTCAAGCCTTCCTGTTTCCTTCAGTCTTTGTCCCATCTCACATATACACCCTTCTCATTTTGCATAAGCTTTTGCACTTGACTCCATCACCTCCCATGGCTGGGTCAGTAGCTGAACATGTTATCACTGCACATGTTGTTTGTAATGGCTATCGAGTGTTCCCTTCCATTCTTACCACGGACAACCATTCTCCTGTCTGTAGGCTGTCATACAGGAAGAAATGTCCCTATTATAAATGACATTGTCATTAATAGCTTTCAACACACATAGTTTATCATATACTTTTCTTGAGGTAAATTCTAAAGCATGAGATGGTGAGCCGCAAATATTTCATGAGTATTTTCTTGTACATTTGCTAGGCAGCGGGCATGGACCTGGTACTCACTGTTTTGCTCCAAGTGAGGCCTGTGGTGTGGTATTCCTTGATGTATGCTTGGAGCTCAGTCCAAATGCTCAAATACGACTTCACCCAATCCACATGGTGCAGATCGCTTTGTTACAAAGGAGCATGAGAGAAGAGTGGAGTTAGCACCTAAAATATGTCGAAACAATTCTTAAAATAAAATATAAAATAAATGGGAAATATAAGGTAATTAAAATTAGGACCAAAAATAAAATGTGAATGGGGCCCGAAGGACATCTCTACTGTGGAACCTCTTGTGGATAAGGATTTGATTCTGAGCGTGTCTTGCGCCACCAGCACTGTGAGAACATGACATTTCCACTCTTCAGAGACCACCTCTGGTGGCATTTGTATTATCACAGTGCTAGGTGATCAAGACAAGCCCCTCCAGATCACACTGAGCCCCACAGAGGGAAGGCACTGTGGGCTGGCATCGGCCCATCAATAGTGGCTAGGTGTGCTGTGTCCTACATTAGTTGAGTTACAACCTCTCGAAGCTCAAGGTTGACGTGGGGCTGGTTGGGCTACTCCCAAGATGCGTGAAGGAGCCCTGGTGGTGCCGTGGTTTACACAGTGGGCTGCTAACAACAAGAGCAGCAGTTTGAACCCACCAGCGGCTTCACAGGTTTTCTACTCCCCTAAAGAGTTAGTCTTCGAAGCCCACAGGGGCAATTCTGCCCTGTCAATGTCAAGGTGGACTCCACTGCAGTAAGTTTGGTTTGTTCGGTTGCCGTTAAGGATGTGAATTTGCCACCCCAGCTTGCTGCACAGGATCCTGGTGGCCCATTAGGTTTGAGTGGCCTTTGG